TGTGTGTGTGTGTGTGTGTGTGTGTGTGGTGGGGAGGGGCTCCTTATTTTCATCTAAAGTAACAGACAGAGAATCAGCACTTTGGAAACAGGGCTGAAACAGAGGGGATTATGGGTAATGCTGCAATGATGTTTGGTGTTTCAGCCAATCAGAGACAGGTTCTGTATCTATCTGAGACCTGTGATGTACTGATGAAGAAGAGGATGATAGGGGACCTTTAAGTCATTTTGATGAAAGGTCCAAACGTATTTGCTGAATAGACGAGCTCTGTAAGGATCCCTCTGTATCCCAGCACTTACATTATCCATTGTTGGGCTGTTCTTGTGTTTTTTACATGTTTTCCTCCATCAGCGGACTCGGCACAAGCAGGTGGCTCACCAAGGATGAACTGGATATATTGCTAGGAGAGGGCATCCGCACTGAGGATGTAAGAGCTCTCTTTATTTCCTGTCGTCCTCGTCCTCGTCTCTCACATCTATTTAAAAGGATTGTTTCCCTTGTTCTAAAACGTGTCACGTGGTTTCCTTCAGTACGACCGCTTCCTCCAGCTGATGGAGCGCCTGCTGTCCCTGCCGTACTGCGGCACAGAGAAGGACTTCGTCCTGAGCTACCGGAGGGAGCTCGACGCCCAGTCCAGCAAACAAACGGTGCCCACGATTGAGCAAGACGAGAGGGGCGTGGCCTATAGCACCTCGGAAGGTAGGAACGTACAAAACGTTGCTAAATCAAATTTAGATTTTTACATTTGGTGCCATTCTTACTAACTGATGGGAAATGGATGTACGTAACGTGACGCGTCCACCTTTAAAATAACTCAAAAAGGTCAAAACCAACTCTAAATAATCTGGGTTGATTGTTCAAATACAAGAAGGTGCGCATGTTCCTTTCCCTGTTTCACCTGTTTTTATAATTTGGAGGGATGTTCCCAGATCAGGAAATAATGGGCAAATCTGTCAAAAACAAAACTGAGACCAATTAGACGAGAAACTCCAGACTGAATGAGTTGATTATAGGGAAGCCTTTCAAGAGTGTTTCATTGTCAAGTGTACAGATGAGTTAGTATCTTCAGTCTGCTGCACATGTTCTACTTTAATGCTGCTTTCATTCTACTTTGAGATGTTTACATTCTAGTATTGTTTATTTCTACTCTTTCATTTCTACTTCTGTGCAATGCCTTTGTTGTTTTTGATGCTGCTGCAACGCAAACATGACCAATAAAGTACCTCTTGTCTTATTACCACCTGGTATTGAAACAAAAGAAATGTCTTTTACTTAACTAAACTAAGGCTTTTGTTTAAAACATCGGGCAAATACCTCCATAAATGTCAAACCCACACATTTCCAATCACTTCCCCATTTTTCGTATCATAATATATGAAGAGAAACGTCAGGTAAAGGTGTGCTTTGCCTCTTCAGGGCGGAGGAAGACGTCGACTTCTTCTGTGGTGCTCAGAGACAGCGGCTCCGGACGCATCGTGATCAACGGCCGAGATTACGTTCATTATTTCCCCGTTCAGCAGGACAGGTACGAGAGCTGCGAGGAAACACTTTTTACCTTAAAGGCTAGACGTGATGTGCTCTACTCTCTCCCCTTCAAACATCTTTCATTTGATTTCTTTACACTTCGAACGTGTAAAACCATAATACAAAAAATAATGACATCACATGACATATTACATGTTAGACGCTTTTATCCAAAGCAACTTCCATACTCATTACTGTGGGCAACCCCCACAGGAGCACTTTGGGGTGAAGTGTCTCAGGGACACAACGACATGCTGACTGCAGTGGGGTTTGAACCTGTGCTCCCCTGATCCAAACACCACTGCGCCACACGCCTCCTGAAATGAAACTTTTCATAAACAAAAATACTATTGACCAACACGTACGAAAAGATAAAATAATAAATAAATAAACAAACCGTAAACACCAAGTTATTATTAAACAATGTCATCCCTGTGTCTTGTTGAAATCATGTCCTTATACCTTTTTTAAAAACAGTTTTACGTTAGGACCTAAAATACATCTCAGAACAGCTTTTCTCTCTCCGGAGCGTCGCCTCGCTTTCTTATTTATCTCCTCGTAGCAAGTTAATTACACGTGTGTGTGTGTGTGTGTGTGTGTGTGTGTGTGTGTGTGTGTGTGTGTGTGTGTGTGTGTGTGTGTGTGTGTGTGTGTGTGTGTGTGTGTGTGGTGTGTGTGTGTGTCTTTGAGAATGAAAGGACACGCATGTGAGTACATGTTTTAAATCTGTAGTTAGCAAGAAGGAACCACTGACCCATAAAAGAGTCTTAATCTTACTATCGTCACACACATACATCTTACTATCACACACACACACACACACACACACACACACACACACACACACACACACACACACACACACACACACACACA